AAAATGACATATTTACGCTTGACGGCTCCACAACACGAATTAGTTTCAAATCAATTACTACAGCATCAAACCACTGCCATATCAGTAATTAGCGTAAATGTAAAACAGACTTCAGAATCCATTTCACTCAGTTCGCATGCTTCTTTCTGCTTATCACTGATCAGCGTCGTTTTTTCATGCTCCTCCAAAAGCGGCTCATCCACAACTACATCCAGCAAGCATCTCCCTTCAACTGGCCTCATGCCAAAAAAGCTCTCCTAAAAATAAAATAACTCGGGGTACCAAAACAACTCGGAATAACTTTGCTCTGTACTAACCATGAAATAACTCAAAGCTTAGTTTTGCAAACGCCACTGTGCTCGTCCTATGGAAACCAAAAATCGTTGCAAAAACTGTTCAACGCGTAAAAAACTGGCCCTTATACTCATGGAAGAAAAATAGAGTACAGCAAAACAAGCCCTATTTGGAGTTCGAAGAAGCTGCTGAGTTTACGACCACTCCGGGACGAAAAACGCAAATATGTGACCTTGCCACGCAAAAAACCGGGAAAAACAGCACACTGAATATAGCTTACGAAATGTTTCCGCAAAAGTAACGAACCATCGGCTGTGAGAATACCACCCTCTTACTTGACTTTGTTACTAGTTCTGATGTATAAAAGCTCACATTGAGCACAATCGTGGAACTGCGCATGGTTGACACTGTTAGGTCGTATTGTATTTACAATTAAATACTGTTTCTGGCCTAATGCGAATGATGTCATCAAGACAGTGTATGGCAGGAAGAAAAGCGGGTTAGTTATTTGGTAAAAACGAAAAAAACAAAAACGGACAGAGTAAATAACTGAATGACAGTTCAGAATGTTAAGCTAACACTAAACAGGCCAACAATGAGCTGGAATGGGTTTGCACTGGCAAGAAGTCAAATAAAAAGTGAACAAAAGAATTGTGAGACCATGTCTCACAGTTCAAAAACAACAGTTTGACAAGAAACAAAAACAAATCATCAAAGGCATCGGTCTGACAGGGAAGTCCCAGACGAAATTTTTGCCAGTAATGTCAGTAAACAGTACTACACTCTGCTCTGTTCCGTGGATGACGAATTTATGAAAAGCAACGATTGAGACCTCTTTTAAAACCTTCAGAATAAAAAGGACAAGTATCGCTATGTACGGTGTGCAGCGCAATTTAAGTGACCCTATGTTAGTTCTTCCGGAATTCAAGTCAGTGCTCCTACTGTGTCTTAAAAATGGGACTTTCTTGGACAGGGCTGAAGTAAGGGGAAGGCTGTAGACCCCAGCAACTTATAGGCATCTTGCCTGAGTAATTTTGGAAAAGTTAAGCCAGCACAGTGAGCCAAGGGGTTACTATTTGAGTGATTCTCTTTCCGTTCACTTCGTATCGAAATCAGCTGGCATCACAATTCTGTATGTCTACTGAATCCATCTATTTCCTCTGTTGAGATGTACAGAAGCGCCCAAAACCAGGTGTATGTTAGTCACAGTCAGCAGCAGCAGCAGCGTATCATGAGGTAAATACCTCAAAGAAATCTCGAAAAGTCGGGTCCTTTCTTTTTGGCATAAAAGAGATCGCTAAAGTGCATCAGAAAATCATACAAGATAAAAATCAATCTTAGCAATCAAAATTTCAAAAACTAAGCGAAACTACTCTTTGCCACGCAGAGAGAAAAGACTGACGTGTGAAACCTTTTCACAAAAGCTAACCTCACTAAAGGTTACCGACAAGTAACAGTCCGCCAGTTCGACGAATGATCTTTCAATGGTAAATTGCTACATCTAGAGCGCAATACACCCAGACTGCACTATTTTCTCAAAAAACATTCGCCGGCTTGAATGCTCAATTTCGCTTTGCACGAACAACGACCTGTCTGAGACGAGGTTTCGACTACAGAAGATTGAACATTCAAATTCCTCTCAAGTTTACCTGAATAACAGGAGGATAATTGTCTTCCAGTTGTGATCTCCTTGGCTTCCGTGGACGCTTTATTTTTGGTTTTGCTGCATCCTCCTCAACAACATTCTCTTCTTCCGCATTCGACAGACGATGCCGAGGCACCTGATAAGATCGTTTCACCATAAAGAATTGAAAAAAAGAGTACTATTTGAAAATTTATCTCATGCTAAGCGATGCAGTTTAACTGTAGTATGTTACCAGATAGAACCCATTATTCAAATTCACATTTTTGGTACTTTTATCTTTCTGATCCTGCGAGAGTGAGACAGAGTGGACGATTCTGTTTGCAGCCTCCCCTTTTTCAACAATTTTTCAGCCCCACCCTCCCTTTTTCATTCCATTTTTGCGTCTGAACTCAGACAG